GGGAAAGGCAATGCCACCGGTTCTCGGGATGTCTCCCGGACTGCATGTCAATCACGGGGATATCTCCCCGATTGCATGTCAATCGGGAGATATCCCCGAGAACCGGTGGCGTGGCCTTTCCCCGAGAGTTTTCGGGAGAGCATACCTTACCAGGGAGGGGTCCTCTCCTGTTCGAGGAGCATATCTTACGGCCTCAGTGCCTCAGGCCTAGTGGGCGTTGTCAGGCCTACATCGTTTCCAGCTCCCTTTCCATGCACTTTCATAGCGCGAGCTCAACTCAGTGTCCGCGGTGGCTAATGTCTTCCTTTTATTGAACTCTCCACGAAGTTCTTATGTAATCTTGATTACCTTACGTTTCGGTGGGATCGCCTTCTTCGAAGCCTGAAAGGATCGAAGCAATTTGTGACTACCCGACCAAACGCCTTAATGAAATTAGAGATCAAAACGGGTCATCGCGCAATACTAAGGCGGGCTTCTTACCGTACCTCATTCCCTTCCTCGAGATCACCGGGAACGTATGGGGACATGTAGCCGGGGGAAATGTGAAAATTAAGACCCCTTTTCGCTTCTAATGTTGCTTGCTCAATTTGTAATAATATAGTCTTTGTTCTGATACACTTTTGCTACCAGTGCTCTAAAGTAAATTCCCCCATAATGACATATTTTTCTTCTCAAAACTGGTTTCTCACAAATACATTTCAGGTCTCTTCGTCAGTCTATCCTCCACAGCCCGCTGCCTTCACTTTTCCATTTGGATCACAGTCCTATTCAGCCGCTCAATCAGCATATTACAATCAAATTCGTGGCGTTGGCTGGTAGCCCACTTCACAGAACTCCTTCCTTCATCAAAAGCCATTCCAGTAATATTAAGAAAAAGCCCTAAGATACTTACTAAGATGCACGCTTGGTTCCAGTGAATGTGATGTAGTCGCTTTAGATTCTTTCCCAACATGACCGGAGTGTACCCACGGACGCGATCACCTTATAAAGCGTCAATATTTTGAAAGAATTAAACTAATCCGCCTATTCTATGGCAGTGTAACAAGAGGTCAATGCGCGACGCCGCGTTTGCTTGTACTTCAAGTTTGGACCAAATGGCCCATAGCTGAGGCCAGTGCGCGACGGTTGCGTGCACAACGTGCCGCAAGTGTTTTCGCGGAGGGATACGGTACCCGTGCGATACGTGCACAAAATATCTTTTTCTTTTTACGAAGGCCTCAGCAAGGCGTAATGTCTCCATTTCGATCACATCTTGGATCGCGAGTGAGCGCGACGTCGCGTGGTGACCACTTGACACCGTAAACTCGGAACAAATTCGAGAATGTCATGCTGCATGCCGGAAACTAATGGGCAATGAGTATAGAAAAAT